CAAGAAATTGATCCATGTCATTCGAGGGGCTACCTCGTCACCGAGTTTATCTCCTCCAGTGGGTCTGCGCTTCGAAGGTGGAGCATCTCTTCGAATCGGTGAATGAATATCTTCTTTGTCTGGATCCAAAATAGGCGGCTGGGAAGATACCCTTGTCTGCTTGTCAGAAAGGTAAGCGGCATAATTTGCGGCATATATGAATGGGTAGCCGGATCTGCCCGCTCGCGCTTCCCAGTCCTAGAGGATCATGTTGTCATTCATGATGGACCAACGAGCTGTTGGGTCATGTGTCGGCCTCAGTTTGGAGGAAAAAATCTGATCACCTTGACTTTGAAGTCACCCATGAAATATAAAGCTTGTTCAAGGTCTTGATCGGTGGCAATTATGTCCAAACTTGCTGCCGATATCTCGTCGCACTTAAGTTCTTCGATCATTGGCTTATCCTCTAGGATCTCTGTTGTTCCAAGTACTACACGGCCCTGCGAATTAACAAGACAATCATTGTTAGTTAAAACACACTTCGGCCTCCACTCTTTCCCGGTCCGAAGCGGGTGGCGTAAGTCCTCCTTACTTAATTTTAATCTTTCACCAGTAGTTCCTTCCTGATTCTCGGTTTGCTGCCCTTCAGCCTGGCCTTCCTGGCCGTCGTTCGGCTGCCCCCTAGTCTGACCCTCATGGTAGTGACAAGCGGCTAAGCGTTTTCGCTGCATTCTCCTCTTTTGGGTCCTAGTAGGAGGTCGCAATCTCTGCTCCTTCTGATTCAAGGCCCAATTTCCATCATCAAGGGCCTTTTCGGGAAGACGTTTTTGATGTGGTGTAATTACCACCTGATCCACCGAGGTTAGTCGCCATACCTCTCTTCCTTTCTCAAAGCTCACTTCAATGACCATATTATGGGGGAAAGTCTATCCCGCATCGAGCTCCTTCTCGAGGGTTTAATCGACCTCCCGAGCCTTTCAAACACCGGTTTTCGAGGTTTTATTTTCCGATTATTTTAACCAAATCCTGATTCCGACCTTCCAGGCCCTGTTGAATGTATTCCAACGGTTTTTATTGGTGTGGGAAATAGTTAAGTATCAATCTTCATTTCAGGCTTCTCGGTCAGCTAATGGCAGCCTTCCTTGATGATTTCCCTCTGGGATTCATCCATAAAAGTCTCATTCGGTTCATCATCGGCTTCGAGAGCTTCTCCATGGGAATGAGCAGGCTGGTTTCCACTCTGAAAATTATGATTCTGGGCTGCTTAAGCCTCCTTTATGAGTTGTTCGACCATCGTAGCTTTGGACATCAGTTTCCGGAAGTGATGGTACTCTTGGAGGGCCAATTTTTTACGCAGCTCATGCGTCATGTTGTCAATTTTCATGTTCATTACCTGGTTCTCCGGTATGCAAACTTGGCGTCTACTTTCCGACCTCCTGAAGGGTTTCAGGAACTGCTTCACAAATTCATCACTGTGCGACATAAGTTTGTCAAATATGAGACGGTCACCTCTGGAAGAGGGGTGTAAAAGCCCTTGTGGAAGGCCTTCTTATGTTTGCCCACGTGTGAATGAAGTTCAGAGGTAGTGAAGTATACCACAAAAAGCTCGACCTGTCAAAGAAAAAGGAAAAAGTTAGTTTATACTAGTCATTATTCTCGTATTCTCCTCCACATTGAGCCGTAAATCGGCTAATATGTTCGATGGTAGAACGGAAATTTTCCCCCAAAAACAACATGAATTTAAAGATTCGAGCATTGCGGGGTAGCGGATGATCCAAAGGAATATATCCCGGGAAAGGCATTTGATAGTGAGGCCTAGCCGGTAGGTAGATGGGCTCGCCATACATCCTCCTAATTATATCCTCGACCGCTTGGGGATTTATAAATGGATGAGGCGGCGGCACCACTTCTGCCTGCTCCCCAGGCTGTTTTGAATCTGCCTGGACAGATGGCAGATTGCGGGCTACTGGCTAGTGGAAGGCCTGATGAGCAGGACCCTATTGTGGGAAATGAACTCGAGGGCCTTCCGTAGCTTCTCTGAACATTTGGGCCTGTTGCACTTGAGAATTTTCGGGGCTGATTTGACATGATATTTGTAGGTTTGTTGCTCTCCGGAACCAGCAGCAAATCGATCTTCCCCAACAGCTCCGTGCCCCCCAATGTATCGGGAAGGTGTTGGAACTGGTCCTTCTAATTCCCAAGTCATTCTAAAAGGCTTTGGGACAAATAAAGGTGCTGGAATCGTTTTCGGCCTTTCTCCCTATGCATTGGAAGTCTCTTGTCCGGACGTTGGGTTTCTTTGAAGGCCCAGAGTGGGGACTGGGGTGCTGAAAGTAGTTCCCGAAAATAAGGAACTATTTTTTCCTATGGTGCCGATGGGACTGACCTAAAGGTCATCCCAAATTCGTTGGGTGGAGGCGGCCCAAATGAGGCCTGCCCGGCCGACGCCCGAGATTGTCCCACCTTCTGGATGGTGATCAGAGGTCCTCCAGATCCGGCACCCCTACTGAACAGAGTAACATGGCCATACTTAAGTGTCTAGGAGGTCGGATCTACTGCGAAACTGGTTGTAAGGCCCGCGGGAGGCCAAATCTCTAACTGGCTGGAATCAACCTTTCGAACCTTGTTTTTTCGATTTTCTTTCTCTAGAAGCAGCAAAAACTCGTTCCGAATGGCAGGTTTCAAAACGTCGCTAATGTATTTTGATAGTTCTTGGGCGGATCCATGAAAGGACGCTAGCTGGAAGGCTAATGTTCTGGTCCGGCCTTCCAGCAGCCGCGGAAGCCTCATTGCGCGGGGCAGCTTCCTGCGCAGGACGTGATGACGAATCGCCGACGATTTCTTTGTTTTTTGACATCTCCATAGTTGTCGGTGGTGTCAGTTTTTTTTTCCAAAGATGCATGCAAAAGTCGCGAGATGTCGGTGTCCAACCAAACGTGCCAATTCTGTTGTCATAAAAAAATCACCTCCGGCGGCTAAATCAGAAGCCTGCCAGAATCGATTTGTTTTGAAGACTTCCTCGGCCTCATCAAGGAAGGATCTGGGCTATCTTGTGATGATCAAAAAATTAATGTAAAAGGAAAGCAAACTAAGGTTGATAAACAAGAAACAAAGCTGAAAATTAAATTAGAATTAATGAAAAAAGCTGTAAAAATATGGAAGAAAAATACACTAAAATTCGCAAAGAGAAAAAATTAAATAAAGAAGAAGTGGAAGATCATGATGGAATGTCGTATGTAATTCTGCTTCTTGATCTTCTATAAATCTTGTTGTTATTTTTTGAATTCCTTTTAATAAAATCGTAATCCCAATTTTCCTCCAATAATTCTAGCAACTTTTACTTCCACAATCTTTCATCCGTTGACTGCTCTAAATGTACTAAGCCGGCTGCGTCCTTGGGCTACTCGGGTCCGTAGGCCCATTCGCTGATCTGGACCTTTTGCTGGGCTGCGAAACTCGAAGGTTTGAGTTGCATTTGTATTGGACCGGTCCAATTAATTTTATTTGTGTACAATATCAAATATTTATTATTTTTTTTTTGTAATTTATAAAAGTTTTCAAATTAAAATTTCAAGGTAATCCAAAACTCTTAAGTTTATTAATGTTTTTCAATTGTTGTAATTTATAAAAAAATTTCAAATTCACATTTAAACGTAATCTAATTTTCAACTTTTACTTCCACATTTTCAAATTAAATTTTTTTTTATAACGTGGGAACCCACAACCGCTATCCGAAAATGCATATTGAGTAAACTCTTGGTCGAACCTAATATCCTGCAAAATTAGGTCCTACAAGACAAACCACACTGAAACAAGGGCATTAATATATTATACACATTATCTATACATTACCTACATAATTAAATATGTTTTACCTAAAAGAAAATAATAAAAAATAAAAAATAAAACGAAAACCTAAAACAATCAAATCCCTAATGTTTATCAGTCCCATGTGTCGAGCTTTTTATTTCCAAGCCGTACAACAAACAGTAAAACATTTTAATATTTTAAGTCGTATAAGTAAATAACAAGTTGGCCCCTATAGCTCAGTGGTAGAGCGTCAGTCTTGTAAACTGAAGGTCTGTAGTTCGATCCTGCATGGGGGCACATTTTCATTTTTTAATTTTAATTTATATAACAATTTTGTGTTTCAACATACTATATAGTTAAATTTAGAATGTTAATTTAGAGACAGTTAAATAAGAGGTGGTGCAGAGGCAACGTTGGAATGAGTTGTCGCCCCCACAATCCTCAGAAACTCCGAGCCCCTCAATGGTACGTAATTCTATTCTTACCAACAAAATATAATTATATATATAGATTGCGTATATACATACATACCCGCCGCGTCCCGTCACCTCTTCCTCCCTCCGGCCGGTTGGAAATCTCAATCTCAAATAAAAACAAAAACACCATACCAAATTACCAATTAAGGAAAAGGATTAACATGGGACTCGACGAACGTAGTATTATTATTCCCACATCTTTAATCATATGTTTCCTTTTGTCCCCAATATTCACCAAAGCTTCCCCCCTCGGTAAGGGAAAAACACACATCGTTCTTTATTTATTTATTTATTTATTATTATTATTATTATTATTATTATTATTATTATTATTATTATTATTATTATTATTATTTCATATAATAAAAAGGTAAATTTGCTCATAATTCGTTGGTGTTTCAAAATTCAATTGTACTTTAAAAGATGCATGGTGTCCACTTATACTTTTAAAAATATTTGTATGAAATCATATCACCATGAAAGTTGAATATGATTTCTTATCTATATTTTTTATATGGCGGGGTTTCATGCAACAATTTTAAAAGTACGAGGGGCGTCATACAATTTTTAAAGTAAAGTAGAAATTTTCGTTGAATTTTAAAACCACAAAGAAATTTTATTTAATTTTTTTTTAAATTGTAAGATGCACCATGCAATTTTTAAAATAAATGAAGAATTTACGACTGATTTCAAGGGAGTTATGGACAATTTTGGCTATAATAAATAATAATGATGATGGCAGAGGATGATCATTCGTTCAAGTACGATGAGAGCGACGAAAAGGGCCCCGGACATTGGGGAGACCTGAAGCCAGCATGGCAGACATGCAAAACCGGCAAGTTCCAGTCGCCAATCGACCTCAAGACGAACAACGGTGTGGCGGTGGCAGAGGCGGATAGCCGGGTGAGCCTTGAGGGCTTGAAAAGAAGCTACAAAGAAGCTCCGGCGGTGATGATGAACAGAGGGCATGACATCGTAGTTCAGTGGGAGGGCGACGCTGGCGGCATCGTCGTCAACGGGACCCACTACAAGCTCGTGCAATGCCATTGGCACTCTCCTTCAGAGCACACCATCAATGGCCAGAGGTTTTTTTTTTTTTTTTTCCTATTGTCATATGTTGTCAGTTCATTTTATAATTAATTAATTAATACAAATATTATTGATTTGTTATAGATTGAAGATGGAGCTTCATATGGTGCACAACAGCTCCGAGGGACAGCTCGCTGTGGTGGCTGTCCTCTACGAGTTCGGGCATCCCGACAAGTTTCTTTCTAAGGTATTTAATTTAATCGAATTATTGTTATATAGTCAGATTCAATATGAATGATAAATTATAGGAACATATTATTTATATTAATATAATACATTAAGGTTCTGGAGAAAGTGAACAAAAATGAGAATGAAAAGGGAATAGAGTTGGGGAATGTGAATCCATGGACAGTGCAGCTGGGGAGCAGAAAGTATTTTAGGTACATGGGATCCTTAACTGTCCCGCCTTGTACTGAAGGCGTCGTTTGGACAATCGTGGACAAGATCAGGACAGTCTCCAGGGAACAGTCCAGAGCTCTCGCACTTTCTGTCCATCATGTATCTATCTCTCACTTTTACTAATTTTATTTAATTAATTAATTAATTATTTCATTATTAATAAATATTTATTAATTGCAGGGATTTGAGAATAATTCGAGGCCAACACAACAAATAGATGGGAGAAGTGTGCAGCTCTATCGTCCCCAATGCGTTTGATTCGTTTTGATTTGATTTGATTTTTCAACAACAAATTAAATTAAATTAAATTAAATGCCCCTATTGATTTGTATTGTAATTATATTATATTTGCTTAAAGACATATATCACATGTTCAATCAATAAAAAATAACTTTATTTTATGTATGCGTTCCTGAATTTTGTTGGGTAATACATTTATTTTATTACATGGATATAGTGTGATAGTACAGCTTGAATCAACAATATAATCGTTTTATCTAATATAGATTTAGAAAATAATAATAATAATAATAATAATAATAATAATAATACTCTCTCAGTATGCTTCAACACGAAAATTAAAAGAAAATAAATATTTATTAAAAAATAATTAAAAGATAGTTGAAGTTTTAAAATTTTAATTACTAATTAAAAAGAATGAGGGGAAAAAATATAATAGACGTAGTGATATTTTATGTATATAAGTATTAAATGAAAAATAATTGTTAAATATTAGATTTCTTTTTCTAAATATAATAATAAAATAAATTTAATGGACGGATAAGAAAAAATAAAAATAAATTTGATAGACAAATAAAATAATACCTAACTCTATGGCTCTGTGAATAATATATATATATTTTTTTGTTGGTGATAGGATTCTCAATAATTATATTTATACTATATTTTCTTAAAATATATATATATAATTGTTTATATTATTACCTCAATTTTTTCATACTTCATGTAAAAAAATATTTCAAATTAGAACACTAAATAAACTTTTCAAACGTTTATTATTATTAATCAATAATAATTATTTTAAATATCATTATCAAATATATAATTAATTTTTTCACACAAAATATAAAATCAAATATCAAATTTTTTTACTGACAACATTTTTCAAAAACTTGTATCTATATGCTCCATTAATATATTCAACAGCAAATCTCAATTGAATTTAATTGTAATAGACGATCTTGCATGCCTTGGGTTGGTCTATACGGGACAGATTCAAGGTTGAAATTTATGTTTCAACGTCAACCGTTGAATTTTGGTCGTTGAAGATGATGATGAGCTGCTGTGTAAGTGGTGGTGGCGGTGGAAATGGTGTCGGAAGTGGAAAAAGTGATAAAGGCGGCGGCGATTGTGGTGGCGGTGGGGAGGGGAGAGCAGTTGGGCTTCGAGGGGTGGTGGTGGCTACCGCCGTAGATGACAAAGAAGAAGACGGTGGTAGTGATGGTGGCGGTAACGGAGATCTGGAGATGGAAAAGCAGTAGCGTAGCTAGTAGAGGGCCAAAGTGTAACATTCCAAATAATAACCTTGAAGTATCACATGTCAATACCAAAATAACGTCACGTAAAAATATGACGTGCCCCGATACTAAGATTAAAACATCATAATAGTGAGTGTAAAAATTTTATTAAAAATTGTATTTTTCCAGCACTCATAAGTGTTTAAAAAACATGTAATTGTAAAAAGTCTTTACATGTATGAAAACTCTCAATGCATCTCAAAGGTAGAGAGTATATATAATCATAAGTTTAGACATTATCTAATAAAAAATCATGCATGCTCGATAAAATCCCATTCCTATGATGCATCAATTGAACGAATTATCAATCAACTTGTCAATCAACAACTAAGTCTAGCCAAATTCACAGCTTATACAATTTATTAATCGACTTGTCAATTAACGACTAAGTCTAGCCAAATTCACGGTACATAAATTAATAATCGACTTGACAATCAACGGGTAAGACTAGCCAAATCCACGGCATGTACAAATTATCAATCAACTTGTCAACCAACGGCTAAGTCTAGCCAAATCCATGGCATACACAGATAAATAATCGACTTTCTAATCAATGCCTAAGTCTAGCCAAATCCAAAACTTACAAAAATTATCAATCGACTTGTCAATCAACTGTCAAGTCTAACCAAATCTACGACTTACACAAAATATCAATCGAATTTTCAATCAACAACAAAATCTAGCTAAATATACGACATACATAGATTATCAATTCTTAATCTCATATAACAGCAAGTTCACGACATATCACATACGAAGATATAATCATAATGATATATTGAATTCAGGCACGTAGTTAGATAGTCAATTCATTTCAAGCATGTGTAATTTAACATCTTATCTTACTTATAGGAAGTTAACAAACTCAACTACCACTGAGTCGTGAGACTTGATTCAATCAAACTTCAGATAATCACCAAATACGATCAATAAACTTACTCAAATTTCGCACAAATCTTATAAAATTCACCATAAATTTCATGTGCGAGAAAAGCGCGGCATAAACTATTGAAATAAATATTAATAAAATATAATTGAATGACAAAAACACGAAATAAATCAAACGCCAGTCCCCAGCAACGGCGCCAAAATTGGTAGCTTCAGTGATTTCAATAAAAATATCCTAACACCACAACTTTCGTGTAGCAAGTAGTGCCAAGATCAATCCACATGGACTGTGAAGTTTAATTCTTGTTTTGTCATAATTTCAAATATTGGAGATGGGGGATATATTAGCAATTCACTAAGATAATTAAAATAAGCGATAAAATTTAGATTTCAATGAGATTAGACTTCTAGCCCAAGGAGTGAACAAGAAAACAAATTAAAGATCCGATCATCGATTTTAAATAATCTTGTTATTCAATTGATAAATTGGTTATAGGAATTAGATACGATCATAACACCTAATTTTTTTCTTACTTTATTGGCGGCAATTGTACGACCGATTAACCGCATCCCTAATAAAAAAAAAAAAAAAATCTATGTACAACCATAAATTAATTTTCTTCAATTGAAAATAGCCCAAGAAAAACTCAATTCAAATATTCAATCAATTACGAAAATATTAAATTAATTGATCATACAATTCCTAGGCTAAGCTTATCAACCTATTTACCACTTTATCAAACAAATGCATAATTACGGATGCAAATATTTAATTGGTACACAATTGTTAAACCAATTTAAAATCCGGCCGCAATAAAATATCAAATAAAACAATTGTAGTTATGAATCACAGAAATTGTACAAATACCAATTTCATAAACAAGATGCAATTTAAATCAAAATAAACTCTCACAAATCCAAATCCGAAATCTAAATTCAACATTGGACTAGAAATTGGCATACCGAAATTTTCGGTATAGTACCGGTATATACCGTTCATACCGAAAATTTCAATTTCGGTACGATACCGGTATATACCGAAAATTTTGATTTCGGTAGATACCGGTATATACCGATTATACCGAAAATATAATTTTAAATTTCAAAATAATTAAAAAAATTAATAAATATCACAATTCTCCACCACAATAATATTATGAAAAAATCAATAAATTTTCAATAGTTTATATATTTTTTTGTTATGATTTAAAAAAAATAAATAATTATTATTTATATTAATAATTAAATTATTTAATAAAAATAATATCGGTATGGTATCATACCGAAATACCAAACTCTCCGAAAATTCATACCGATACCGTACCGAAAACTTCGGTACGATGTCCATACCGTACCTAAATTTTCGGTATACCGAAATTTTTGCTATTTTCGACACGATACGGTACAATAAGTCGGTATTTCGGTATATTCGGTAAATTTCTCCATCCCTACCCTTAAGCATAAACCAAACAAGCACATGCAAGAACTTGATGCAATCATAATCTCCTCAAACAAATTCGCATTATCATTACCTCAGTGAAACTCAAAACATACCAAGTGGAACATAACCTTACTAGGAATAAAGTGTATACACTCAATACTCAAATATATATGGATTAACAAGTCACTCGTGTCGCATCGTAAAAATGATTATCTCATAGGTTTGCATATTGATCACATCTTTTAATTCTTCGAAATCTAATGTAAAAAATCAAAGGGTCTTTAAATAAGGTTGTAACGGGGCTTTAGGTTGGGGTAGGATATAATATATTATTCTGCTAAATAAGTCAAAAAGAAAATATTCCAAGCTCATTATGTAATATATAGTCTCTATGTATCACAAGGTAGACAATTATACATAAAATTTCTCATTCCTCACTTATTCTTTCATTAACATGCATATTCAAAAGTTTATTCTTGCAAACTACAAGAAGAATGCTCACCACGATAACCCGTATTACACTCAACTCAACCGACAAGTTAACACCAAAATGTCCGTTCCCGCTACGTAAATTTTTTTTTCTTTTTTTTTTTTTTTGCTTTTCTCAATCCTTTATTTCTTTTCTTTTTTCTTTTTTTGCTTTTCTCTCATAAGCAATAAACAACAATAAATAGACATAACTTCTCATTCCCTTGGAGACTTTAAAATAATATGAGTTCAAAATATTTTCCTTTGACTATAAGTTAAAATAAATTTTGACTTTAAAAAGAAATATCATAGGTTAATATACGGCTCATTTAACAATAAAATAGAGTATTCAAGCTCAAATTGGCTCACTAAGTGATTAATTTTTTAGGTAGGAAATATATTAGGCCAAATGGTTCATCCTAATACCCTTATCATATTAATCGCATAGATTCCTAAGAAATCAAATTTGATATGTATCTCTATGCAAGTTCTAGAAAAACTAAGTCTATAGCAACAATCACACACAAGAAGAAATATATAGCATTTAAAATGTATGCTCTATTAGGCTCAAATCTGGCATATGGTAAAACATGTCATGCTCGACATATTTATCGTCTACTTCATCAGCAAATCATCTAATGAAAACATGTCATATTGAAAATAAATACACACAAGTCAATCATGCAATCGGGCAAACAATTCATATTTTCCCCACACCCACTATGCACATTGTCCTTAATGTAAATGCATCTCGAAAAAGAAAAAAAGCAAATGACAGTAGGACTTCTCTGAACCGAGTGGGGGTGGTGCGCAAGATCTTCAAAAACTTTAATAAATTCATCTATCATGGGCATGTTGAAAGTCTGGCATGGGCATACCTAAAGTTGTGCCACCTACTAAAGTGTCATTCTTAAATACTTAAAATATTGTCTCGGGCATGTTGAGATCACCATCACCTATGGAAAGTAAAGACAAACAAATAAACACACCAAACACACAAGAGAAAACTATAAATAAAATAAAATTGAATTGCCTCTCAAAAGCGCCTTTCTTTTTAACGCTTTGGATATGAATTATTAATTGAGAATTTAGGACGAAGGTCCCTCAAGAGCCATCCAAACAAACTACGTCTCCATCCTTGAACTAGTCATCCCACATGTAATACTTTGTATCATTCTTCAACTCATTCCTTTTGAATTTCATCATTGTGGATGAAATTATCAATGGTAATATCTCACCGTCTCATAAATAAGAATATCTCAAATGATTCGGTAGTGGCTTTAATTCCAACTCCGGTGGCTGCACAATCGAAGACAATAAATATGTATTAGTCTCGGGCAAGAATAAAGGAGCATTGGCATACCTCTGCGAAATCCCTTCTAGCGCCTCATTGTCTCTTACCTCAAAAGTATCATGCACTTCAAAGTCAATAACATCTAACAAGAAAACCGAGTGAGAATCTGGGGGATGTTCAATCGCATCAAAAATTTTAAATTCAATTTTTTCCCCATCAAATTTCATCGTCAAATTACCATACTTAACATCAATCTTAGTATTAGCCGTACACATGAAAGGTCTCCCTAAGAGTAGTGGTGATGGTTTGGGTGAATGTTTATCATGCATTTATAAGACATAGAAGTCGACCGGGAAAATTAAATCATTAACTTGGACAAGGACATCCTCTATAATTCTTTCGGGATATGCATACGTCCTATTAGAAAGTTGAATAAAAATCCCAGTTTTCTTTACTGGTGCAACATTCAAACAAGTATAGATCGATTTAGGCATGACATTAATTGCCACACCTAAATCTAGCATAGCACGCTTTACTTCTAATTGCCCTATTTTACATGGGATTGTGAACATACCTGATTCTCCGCACTTCGGTGGAATCTTTCTATGAAGTAGTTCCGAGACATTCTTGTTTGCAATGATGCATTCGTCGCTCTTCAACTTCCGTTTGTTGGTGCACAATTCCTTTAAGAACTTTGTGTACTTTGGAATTTGGTGGATTGCGTCCAATAAGGGTATATTGAGCTCGACCTTTCGAAAAAATCTCCAAAATCTCATTCTCTCTTTTTGGTTTTTACGGCTTTGCCAACATGGACAGAAAAGAGGCAAGATTAGTATTTAATTTAGTGAAAATTTTATCAATTACCTCATTTTT